AATAATCTGGTGGTTTCTTATCAAGTAAAATTATATGTATATCAGCTCATGTTTGGGGAAAAAACAGTAATGATTTTAAAGCAGAAGGCAAATGGCTAGACATTCTTAATACTACTATATGTAAATGAGATTCGATGCTACAGGAAAAACAGAGGGGTGGGCCATCTTTAACTCTTACTTAAACTCCTTGTTAACTAGGTCCATCTAGGATCTCACAGAAATCCCAATTCATAACTGAAACTTAGAATGTCTGGATGACAGGGAGGGGTAAATCTGAGGTTGGCCACACCTACGCTTGTGAAAACCATGCCTACAGAGAAGGTAAAACAAGCAATACAATCCTGAAGTAAACAGGGACTCAGGTTCGGAAGATTCTTAGAAATATTTCAGTCCTTTCAGGGGTCCTAGACTCCTTGAAAATCTGATGAAAGTTAGGGATCTTTTTCCAAGAAACATATACGGTGTCACATACAATTTCAAGGGCTTCATGGACCCACTGACATGGACTTCAGCTGTTTCCAGGCGCAGGTTGTGAGAAGTTATGGGCACAAACCCCAGCTACAAGCTCTCAGACTCACAATTAAATGTTGAATGAGTAAAAGCTTAATAATCTGTAAAAAGAGGACAAACTCTGTTAAGTGGGGGTGGAAAAGATTACTGAGAAGATAAGCTTTTAAAAGGCCTTACTTCTTACATAAATTAAACAGCAGTTGCTTTTCTTTTTCAGAAAATTTCGTTTTCTCTTAACATTTATTTTTATCCCGGACCGAGGGAACGTTTCTGCATCTGGTTGCCCCAGTGTCAACTCAAACACAGCCTGTCTATCTCCTCTTCGCAAAAGCAATTTCTCTTTAAAACCTTTCTACTTATTAGTAGCACCACTAATTAGTAATGCCAATCAATCAGACCCAACATTTCTCATTCGTCTCTTATTCTCTTTTTCTTCCCCTTCAGTTAGAGAAATAGGAATCAATAAGCAACCAAGTCCTGCCAATTCTTCACTCGCGTATACTACAACTATTTATTGGGTACCGTCTATGTGATGGGCACTGGAGATACAAAGATAAATAGACCAGGGAGCCCACAGTCAAGGTCCCTTCCTTGATATTTTTATAGCCACTATCGATGTTTTAGATCTTCATCATTCTACAGTTACTTTTCTACAACCAGTTCCTGACTCCTCCGACTTCCTTCAGTGTATTCATTCCCTTCTAAGACTCCAATTTGTCTAATATTTTGCTGACCAAGACGTTCTCTAAAATAATAAATTCATCATGGGATTTCCTTGATACAAATATCTCTACTGGGTTCTAGGTAGAACCTACAGAAAGACAGTGAACTTTACTCTGATCATCAGAGCTCTGTGCATTGTCAGGGGCACCCCAACTGATCTACAAGTATCCCCTTTATCCCAAGCACCCTCTAGTGTAAGTTCACTGATCCATTGTTTCTGGTCTTGAAACTTACTCATGTTTATTCCTGGTCTCACCACTATCATATGGGTCTCCCCCTCCCTTTCTACCCATCCTCAGAGTTGCAGCTCAAGTCCTGTCTCTTTTCACAAAATGGTTCAAGAAATTATATCCCATGGTGATTGTGCATTGATATATTATAGTATTTGTGTAAATCACTCATTTTGACACTAAATCATAAATATTCATAGTTTTACTTTTTGTCTCTCCAAACTGACTATAATTTCTTTGAGGTCAGTAAAACCTTGCATATTTTCTGTTTACTTTCATGCATCCATTCATTTAATATATATTTATTGAAGTCCTAACTTTGTGGCCCACACTGTACCAGGCTGAAGAGGTCTCCTGTGTTTTGACATAGTAAACCCTAAACAAATATTTGTTGATAACTAAAAGGCATCCCCTCTGCTAGCAAGTGGCACATTTATTTAAGAAAAATAACTCTTAAACTCTCTTTTATTTTTAGATCATGTGACCACAGGAGTCCCATAATTTTTAAATAGCTCTGAGGGATTAGCCATTGGGAATTTCAACAATCAGGCTACAGATGGATTTAGAAAATATTCACTTGTTCATATTCTTCAGAATTTAATGTAACTTTTGTAATTCCTGATAAAAGAACATTACAGCCTTTTTAAGGCTCACATTTTGCTTTTCTTCAGCTTTGGTATAAAATACTGTGCATAAAGAAAATAAAAAACTATTTAGCTACTTGACGTCTATAATAATAGGGAACTTTTCCACAATATCAGCTTTATAAAAAAGCCAGAAAATCCCCAGATTTGGCCAGCTTTATTAGTAAAAATTTAGGAAAGTGGGCCGTTTATTATGATTTAATTGCACAGACTTTTGTTGAAGTTTAGATAGTTTAGTTTGCTAATATGCCCATAAAAAGAACATTACAATAAAATAAATATTCAAGTAAATAAATAAATATCACTGTGACTGTTATCTTGAATGACAATAAGCAATAAGTATTATAGTCCCAGCTGTTTACTTAAATTGTCCCTGAAGGGATAGACAGGCCGTTGGGTAATCATCTTGGTTACTGAGGCACTTTTTCTACCGAGATGGTAATAAAGGCAAAATGGCCATTCTGTCTGCATACCATCCATCTATACAGCTTCTATCCATCATGATTTGCCACACTGACTCTCATACAGAGTTAGATTTGAAGAGACTCCTACGTTTTATTTTTGAAGAAAGTAAAAAGGAAAGAAAGAATTCTCTCAAAAGGCTTTTCATTGAAAAGCCTTTTGAGAGAATTCTTTCTTTTCATTGAACCAAACTGTGTGTGTGAAAACTCGCAGAGATAATTTAAGGCTCTGAATGAGGTTACTTTCTTCCAGAGAGGATGGGCTTCGGTTTCCATCAGGGAGCTAGGCTAAGGGCAGATCTAAATCCGATTAAGGGCAGAAATGATTCAAGTTTGGGCTGCAGTCTTTGAGAGAACTGGCCTTTTCTACAGATGGCTGGCAGCTCTGCTCAGCCTCTCTGCCTCTTAGCCATGCTTTTGCTTGTGCAGTTGGCTAGTTCTTTGGGGGAAAAAACAGCTTCAGATGGTAGGCTCACCTCCCTCGGCTTCCCCTTCGTCTGGATCTTAGTCCTGAAACTACTCCCTGCCTTGGTAGCTCGCCAATGCCCTCAAACAGGCATCGAGTATACTTTGTTTTGCTTGTATTGCTGTAGAAGGCTTGATCTGAGCCAACTCTACAGCAAGAGGTAGGTGGTCCTTCACTCCAACTTTGATTATTGATGTCACTACTCATTGAGTCTTTCTAGCTAATTATCTTGTATGGATCCTCAATAGCCCAATACCGCAACATGCCCCTCTTCCTTTTTTTGCCTCAAAACCCAGCTCTTCTGACACTCTTTGACTCTGTGACCATTTAGGTTATAGTTGCCTGTGCAACTTTCTATCTGGTCTCCCTGTCATTTCGATCTCTCAAATCCTAGTCTTGAATAGGACTGTGTCAGTCCATTTGACTTGCTATAGCAGAACACTATGATTGGGTGGCTTATAAATCACAGAAATTTATTTTCATATTTCTGGAGGCTGAGAAGTCCAAGATCGAGGTGCTGGCAGATTCGGTGTCTGGTGAGAAGCCACTTCCTGGTTCACAGATGGAGTCTCTTGCTGTGTCCTCATGTGGCAGAAGGCATGAGCGAGCAGTCTGGGGTCTCTTTTGTAAAATCACTAATCCCATTCATGAGGGCTCTACTCTCATGACCCAATCACCTCGCAAAGGCCCCGCTAATTAATACCATCTCTTTGGGTTTTCAATTTATGACTTTAGACGACACATTCAGTTTATAGCTGACTGCATAACATAAAATATCCTGGAACTGAAATAGTTAAATATGAATACTCTTTTACAGTTCTCACCCTGAAATGACAGGAAGTCACATCATCCATGTATCCACCCAGTGGTGGGAAGAAATTCACTTTTAGCTTTCACCCAATCAGAAAGTTACTCATTCACTCAATGGGAGTGGACCAGGATGCTTCTCTCAATGGCAGCAGACTCACTAAAAGGCATTTGACCCAGTGACTCCAGTATATACTGACTGAAGGTGGCACAGGCGGAGCCACAGATCATGCAAGGAAGAGCTTCCTTCCCTTAATAAAGAAAGCCAAGAAGCTGATACTTTTTAGAGATCTCAGGGGAAAGCAAAACCTCTTTAATAAGGTTTTTAAAAGACGTGATACTTAAACTTTGAAAATATAAACCACTAAAGACGAAAACATATTTCTGGATTATAATATAATGAAATAACTCAGCACAGGACAGACAAAACCTGTGTTGACATACAGCAAAAGATCAGAATGTGGGCAAAGAAAAGCAAAGCAACGTAGATCGGGCAAACACAGAGACAACTGGTGTAGCTTCGCCATGAGAGCAGGTATTCAGGGGAAGGGGTGCTAGGTAAGGATCCATGCACAAATCTCCCCCACCCCCAAGCCTACTGTTTTAATGTAATTTATTTCTGTCTGGGTGGGCTCCGAGTTATCCAAGTACAGGATACCTCTGTAATCGTCAACTGATAACCTTGTCATGTCAGGTGAATGGCTCCTCCCCAAGTTATTACCTAGAGTAACTCACACTCCTGAATGTTGCTGGTTTTAGAAAGGTAATGAGAAAAACTGCAAGAGAATGTGCAGAAAAGAATGCAGTTTTTGCTCTAAAGAGATGGGACTATGGATGGCTTTTTTCCTTCTATGTTTTCCAAACATCACTTAATGCTATTACATTTTATTTACAAAATAAATGTCAAATACAAATGGCACAAAGAAGCAACATTCTCTAAAATATAATAAAAAAGTGTAACAAATACTTTCTTTCTGAACTTGGGATTTTTGTAATTAATTCCTGTAACATAATTAGAATTTTCCATATAAGAGATAAGAATGGAGCACCATGCACCTCATGAGAGGGTCTTAGGATGAAATCATATTGCTTAGTTTCCCAACAAAGCAAATGTACAAAACTTTTTTATCTCATATTTTTTTGAAAATAAATTTTTTACCTAAAATTCTCATATTCTTCTACTTGTCGTTTCCATGGACATCTCTGTATATTTGTGATAATCTGAAGATAGTCATCCTCTGAATATCTAAAAGTCAAATGTTAATGAGGTTAGAAAATAAAGCTCTCACGTGTTGCTAAACAAATATATATGTTCAAAAGGACATTTTTAAAAATTGACTCATTTCAGCCCTCTAAATTTTTCCTGAAATAAGGGGAAGGATAAATAAGTAAGTATCATAACCATTTCAAAACTTCTAGTAACATACAATTTGCAAAGAATTATGTTGATTTAGGAATGTGTAATTTGCACATATTATAAGTCCGGTCTAGTATTACAAACAAATCGTGACAGAATACCAACTCACATTCATATGCTATGGTTATTTCACCTTCAACTCGCTCACAAATAAATATATTTTTATAGCTGTTTACCATAAGTATATAGTTTATAATTTTTTTAAGAGTCTAAGTTGATAAATTTACCTTGGCATATATAGATAAAATTTCCCCAAAATGATCATCTTAAATTTTAATTCTGAACAGTACATTAAAGAAAACAGATTGGGCTAAATTAAGAGAGATGTACAGTGGCATAAAAATCTATAGGCACAGTGGTCCAGTTTGCCAGGATCCGAATCCACAAGAGATCTCCTTCTACCTGAAATTCTATCATTAAGTATTAATTCCTTGAACCACAGAACAGCCTTTAGTCTTTAAGGGTTACTGTTTAAAATGCAGACATCTTTGTGAGTGAAAAAAAACCCTTAGATTTTCTTTCAATTGGCATCTCAGTCATTTGTCGCCAGCCACTTGAGAGCAAAGGTCTGCAACAAGAAGATAGAGAATATGTTGGTGAAGGAGTGGGCAAGGGAGAGGGCAGTAAAAAGTCTTGTCGGGAAAAGCACTCCCCCATGTCCATCCAGGAAAATGCAGGTCCTCCAAAGTTACCTCGGAAAGCAGGTATTTGTTACAGATGGGGAAGGTAGTCAGCTGAGCAACTCCTTTGTCCCTGAAATTTACCTACCTTTTGGGTTTCTCGTCCATCATGTTGGGGCCAAAATCAATCAAAAATATTTTCCCTTGGTTCCCACTGGCCTAGCCAAGAAAAGCTGAAAATCTTGAAGGACTTTAGCTAAATACTAAAGGAAAAGTAAAGCAAAGAGCTATCACAGGAAAGATTGAAAATAGTGTTACTTGCACGAAAGCTTCCAACTTTAACAGATTTAGCTCACTCTCATGGGCCCTAAGACTGATCCCAATATACCAAGTGTCTTGAGAGATCTATACTATAGCCCAAAGCTTTGTCTAAATGTGACACTTCCCAGCTGGAGCAAAGGCTGCTTGTCTCCATGTGGTGAGAGACACTCAGAAACCCTCTGCAAAACAGGAGTAAGCTCAAAATGAAGAAATACACATTCAGCAGCCTACTAAAGGCTTTCTCAATTTCTGACTCTTTAGAGAGACATGGCACTGTGACTATTCTCTCCTTTCCAGAAGTCTCGTCTACCACCAACGCATGGTTTTAAGTCACCTGATTATATTGAAAACAGGACAACAACCAAAACATGATGTATACCAGGGTCCATTAGATAAAGTAACAAAAAAAACATGTTTTTCATAAAGCTCAACTGAAGAGAAATGGAGAGGAGCCAAATACAAATATCTAATTAACTAATTAATCAATGAATTGCAATTGTATTTTAATTCATCAAGATAAAACATATCATAAAGAGTACAGTAAGGAAAAAATTACCATCTTACAATGAAAACTAAATGTGACAGAGTTTAATTTTTTTAATGTAATTTATTAGATGAAAAAGACATTAAATTTCTCATGATAGACAGCTAAGATAAGATTAGCGAAGTTGAAGGCATAACAACAGAAACCATTGAAAATGAAACATAAAAAGCGAATGAAAAATTTACAGAGAATCATTCAGCTGTGAGACAACCTCGAGTGGCCTAATATACGTAAAATTATGGTCCTGGCAAGAAAAAAGAGATGAAAATATTTTCTGAAAAAATTATAGTGGAAAATTTTCCAAATTTAATGAAAACTATACACCCATTATAGATCCAAGAAGCTCAACAAACACAAAGCACAAAAACCATGAAGAAAACTACACCAAGACACACAATAAAAATTGTCTTTAAATCAGCAATAAAGAGAAAATCTTAAAAGCAGTTTAAAAAAAGATACACCATTATGTACATAGAAACAAAGATAAGAATTATAGCAGACTTTCTGTGAGAAATTATACAAGTCAGAGGCAGTGAAACAATATTGTTAAAATACAGAATAGGATTTGGGGGAAATGCCAATCGGGAAGTCTATACTCAGCAAACCTTACAGAAAATAAGGGTAAAATAAGAACTTTTTCAGACATACAAAACGTGAAAGAATTCAAATCAACGAACCCAAAATATAAGGAATGCTAATGGAAGCCTGTCAGGTAGAAGAAAAAATAAAACCTGATTGAAAACTGGATTGACATAAAGTAATGAAGAGCACTGGCAATGGTGAATATGTAAATATATACAAAATATGATTCCTTATTTTTCTAGGTCCTTTAACAGAGAATTGACAGCTTAAAGTAAATATAACAATAATATATTGAGGAGTTTATAACATGTATAGAAATAAATGCAGGAGAACTATAGAACCAAGGCCAGAAACGGGAGGAGGACAGAAAGGGTGTAAAGCACTCGAAAGTGGATAAGAAAAAGATATATACTGTTCACCTAAAGCAACCACTAAAAACAAATGAAATTATAAAAAGTAATCAAATGTAATCATAAAAGCACCCAGTCCAAAAGAAGGCAGAGAAAGAAAGAAAGGAAACAAAGAGCAGGCAAATGAAAACTATAGCAAGAAAACAAATAGCAAGATGATAGATTTAAACCCAACCATATTAAGTGTAAATAATTTAAACATACCAATTAGAAGGCAGAGAATGTCCGATAAGATTTTTAAAAAGCAGGACCAATCATATATCATTTATAAGAAATTCATTTCACATAAGTTAAAAGTAAAAAGATGAGAAAAGATGTAACATAGTAAAACTAATAAAAATGAAGCTACAAAATGGCTATAGTCATATCAAAGTAGATTTCTGAGCAAGAAATAGTGCCATAAAAATAATAGTTGGTAAGTGCAGAAATTAATGCAATAGAAAAAAAAGAATCAATAAAATTGAAAGCTGTTTCATTGGGGAAAAAAAATCAAATTGATTAACTTCTTGCCACACTGATCAGGTAAAAGAGAAAGAATATACAAATGACCAGTAGGTGACCACTGAGGGAAGATGCTGCCCTAAGAGTCCTACAGATATTAAAAGTATAACGACAACTTTATGCCAAAATATAACTTAGATGCAATGGACATAGTCCTTGAAAAATACAAACAACTAAAGCTCGTTCAAGAAGAAATCAATAACTTGATTAGTCCTATAGCTATTAATTAAATTGAATGTGTGATTAAAATCCTTCCTACAGACACCAGGCCCCGATGGCTTCACTGGAGAATTTTATCAAACATTTAAGAAACAGTAATACCGATTCTACACAAATTCTTCTATAAAATTGAAGCAAGGGGATACCTCTCAATTCATTTCATAAGAACAGTATTACCCTGATACCCAACCCAGAAAAGATATTAAAAGAAAGAAGAAATACTGTATCCCTCATAAATACAGATGCAAAAATCCTCAACAAAATATCAGCACATTGAATCCAACAATATATAAAAATATAAGGCATTCTGACCAAGTGGGATGTACCTCAGAAATGGAAGGTTGATTTATTTAAAAATCAATTGCTGCCTACTCACCGTAATAGAATAAAAAAGAAAAAACAAATAATTATCTCAATACATGAAAGAAGGAAAAGTATTTAACCTAATTCGACATTCAACCATGTTAAAAACTCTCAGCAAACTCAGTGTAGAAGGGAATTTATACAATTCAATAAACAAACCTTCAGCTAGGATCATACTTAATGGTGAAACTGAATACTTTCCCCCTAAGATCAGAATCAAGGCAAGGATGTCCACTCTCTAATTCACCAGAGGTACCAGAGGTCTAAACAGTGTAATAAGGGAAGAAAAAAAACAAAACAAAACACCACCATCTGGATTAAAAAGAAAAAATAAACTGTTGTTATTCAGGGATAATACGATCATCTGAGGAATCTCCAAAAAAAGCTACTAGAAATAATAATTTAACAAATTTTCAGAATACAAGTACTGAATCAATTATATGTCAATACGCTAGCAAGAAACAGCTTGAATCAAAAATTTTAACAGTCCATTTAAAATAACATAAAAAATATAAAATACTTAGGAAGAAATTTGACCAAAGATGTGCAAGACTTATACGCTTTAAAGCACAAAATATTGCTAAGAGAAATTAAAGACCTAAATCTTTGGAACAATATTCTATGTCCATAGGTTAAAAGACTCAGGATTTATTAAGTAAGATGTAAATTTTCCTCAAATTGATCTATATATTTGGTACAATTTTAATTAAAATTCCAGAACTCTTTTTTTGTAGAAATTGAGAAGCCAATTCTAAAATTCATGTGGAAATGTAAAAATATGGAATAGCCAAAAAAAAAATTGAAAATTAACAACAAATTCAGAAGACCTGCATTACCTGATTCAGGACTTACTACAGTGTTACAATAATCTAAGCAGAGTCTTATTTATATCAAGATAGAAAAATAATTTAATTGAAGATTAGAAAATCCAGAAATAAAGATTTTCAACAAGGTAATTCAATGGAAAAAGAATAATCTTTTCACCAAATGTTGTTGAATGATTGGATAGTATCTATCTCACTCCATCTACAAATATTAATACTAAAGGTATCATTAATCTAAATGTAAGAACTAAAATTGGAAAACTTCTAGAAGAAAATGTAGGAAAAAAATCTTAATGACCTTGAGCTTTGTACGTACTATGCACAAAAAAACACTGTAAAGGAAATGAAAATACAAGTAACAGACTGGAAAAAATATTTCCACAACACATATTTGATAAAGAACTTAAATCCAGGAAATATAAATAAGTCTTACAATTCAATGATA